TTGACTCCGGTCGGAAGGATAGTGGGTAGACCTCAAGACAGATAGCGTAAAGTCTATCCGCTATCCTTCTATTAGAGCCAATCAGAGCTCGGCGTCTTTCTGACGTCACCACAACCCCTGCAAAAGAAGCAGACGAACTTGCTCTCCGCATAATCAGACAAAAAGGAATTTGAAGCGAAGTCAAGATTGGTCTACTCCAGGCGTCCCAACGTAGACCAGCATTCATTCGGAGGTGGTGCAAATATTGTGAATAAATAGTCTGTGTATATTATATCAGCTGACTTTTAGCTTGCTAAAAGACAGTACGGAACCGTATCAGTGACTCGGGAGCTGCCATCTGTGGGAGTAAGGGGGAGGGGGGGGGGGGGGAAGAGTACTGAAGTACCACATAAAAATTGCATTCCGTTTCATCTCAATCGAAACAGACATATTCCAATTTTGAATACAAGACATAGTAAAACATCTTTGGTAAAACAGCAGTCTGTTATATTTTTGAAAATTTTTTTTGTTAACGGCTTTCCATGATATGTCGGTAACTATAGTGTAGAGGAACTCTTTTTTGTGTGTTAGTACATTAAAAAAAAATAAAACCACCTAAACAAGTTTAAAAAAAAAAGGAAAATGTTTTACAATTAGGCAAGGGTGAAGCAGTTTAACGTTTTTTTACTCTTTTGGGAGGTAGACAGCGAAAACATGTAGCGCACGAGGGAGCATATTATTTTGTTGCGCTCTACGTAGCTTGCGTACATCTCGTAGCTTCCACTATGCTCCGCGAAACTTCGGAGGTTAAGTATAGCGGGTCAGAGGCGGTGTTCTTAGGGCGTTTGCGTTTTTTGCCGTCTTTTTCTGGCTTTTGTATTGCCGCAACTACCGAAATTTTCCACGTCATAACTCAAAGATTTTTTTCTGCTAAAATTTAACATCTTATCTGGCCTATGAGAACGACGGGTTGAAAATTTCCGATTGAAAATGCCGGCTAAAAAGAATAGTTAAAACGTTAGTAAGGCGAATTTTATTTACCTAAGTCTCTAATTGTTTTTTTTCTTCCCGTGTCGTGACGGCCGTCGCGATCGGTAAAGTTAATCTGCAGGACTAGTTCCTTTATTTTCAGTATCATTCTGTCTTTTAATATTTTTCATATTATAAAAAACACTCCTCCTAATAAAGCACTTGTAACCGTTGCTATTCTCAGCGTTCGTTCGTATGGCGTTGCTATGGTACTTGCGTTTTATAGCAACGAACATATGCGCATGATGGGCTGTTCGTAAACATTGGAACGATCTACAGTGTGGTCCCGAGAAAAGAGGACAGTTTTGTTTGACCAGCGCAAACAAACTATGCATAGCAGAAAGCTCAAACTCCATGAGATTGTGACGGTATCGGTTGAGATAGAGATTTAAAAACATGAAGTTACTCGGGGATCAAAAGATAATTGAGAAAGCTAAAATTTCTCTATGAGCTGACGTCCTCCTAAGCATAATATTCTAAAAAAAACACCCTGGGCGCCTGTAGCAATCATTTCTCTAAAAAAACTTGTCAGCAAGAAAGAAAACAACATTATTTTTCTTACTGACACGAGTTTTTCACTTATATAAATCTCACATTCGTCCACAATGTCAGTTCTTGTTTTAGACGATACTGGAGTGAGTGTCAGAGGTAATCTCGGGTCGCCAGAGGTGACCTAAAGTCACTTCTGGCGTCAACACTGGAGATTGACTTGAACGATATACTTTGTCTTGATGAAGTATCCGCTCATACATCTGGGCTCAGTAGCCTCAGGTTTTAAAACCCTGGATTGCCGCAGCTCCGGCGAGTCTTAACAGTTTCTGTCAGCGGACTCTATTTCTACTCCTCTTTCGTAACCCCACGACCGAAGGCATTGCTCTCCGTGTAAGTTTGCACCTTCACAGTCTGGCATACAAGGTAGAAGCTATCTTTCAAGAGCCAGACCAAGAGACACAACTAAAGGCCGGTCGCTCTCACGTTTTTAGCAGTGCCACTGGCGAGCGGAATAGGATATTGTGAGATCTCTGAAAAGTCTTGCGTCATCATGTTAATTCGCCTTGCCTAAGTAGGCAAAAGGTCTGTTTATTTTATTTTTGTTGCCTTTCAAACACCCCCTATCACCAGTAAAGACACGTTGGTAGGAGTTTGGGCATGACGGTATATGTCACGGAGCGCTAGAGCACCGCCTTATCACGTTTCGCTGAAGGATTGGAAGACCGAGGAGTAAGGAAAAAATTTTCGTATGCGTAAAGCACGTGATTTCGTTTTTAACTAATATTTTAATGCAGAGTTTTTTTGTTTTTTTAGACCGAGCATTTGTTTTTGTTTTTTTTATTGGGGTCATTTTTTACATACAGGGTGAGCAAGCGCAACGTTAGCTTTCTCGGAGTTCGAATCGTTCATCAGTAGGTGTCGCGTTTAGCTTAGGGGGCCTTTATATGAGGGTGGCCACGATGGACTCTAGGCTCCCGTTTTCAGAGGTGCGATTGTTTGAGGGTGTCTTATCTGATCTTATCCTGTATTAGTAATATAATAATGATAGGGCTGCGCGTATTTTAAAAATATTATTCCGATTAATGTCCACCCTTTAATCGATTAATTAATCGATTAATCGGTTTCGTTCAATCCCATGCCTAATATTTTTTTAAAAGTCAAAGCTACATTTTTGTTTTGTTTTCTTGCTTTTGCTGAATATTGTAAATGACTTAATTTTCGCGTTGTCAAATGGCCTACAATTCACGAAAAATAGGTCCGGCGAAAGATTCGGGTAAAATGTAAATACATTGGAATTTATTTCGAGACCCCACCGCGTCGCGAAATTTAGAACCCGCGAATCGTTCCAAAACTTCAGCTTTGACCTAAATAGCGAAATATAGAGCCCGAGAAAATTAAGTCGTTTCCGGTATGTGATCAACGGCGCAATGTTCAATTTAAGACTTTAAATCAATCTTGAGGTGTAGTCGATAACAGTGAAGACAGCCACATGCACTCACAAATTCTTACTTCAGCCGCAAAAGCAGAGGGATTCGTTGATATTTTCCGGGAATAGCGAACTGCCTCGATTGCTCGCAATAGTCTCTGCTGCGTTGAATGGACACTCGCACGGCGTTCAAGTGGCTAGGACATGTACAACCTTCTTCCATTGTTTCGAGTTACAAATCTCGCCCGTACAGTCTTCATTAGGTCTACATATCTCCGATATTTTACCTTCAGACTGGTGTACTCGTCCACGTCTGCGCAATGAAAGCCTTTATTTTCTTTTACTTTTTTTTAGTAAAATGTTAACTGATTAACGGTTAAAAAGTTAATCGCGATTAAAGCATTTTTTTATTAATCGGTAGGTTAATCGACCAAATGCCCAGCCTTAAATAATGATACTAATGATCTTTTTTAAGGTAAAAAACAAAACACAATGTTTTTTTTATTGGTGCAAGAATACTATAAGTAAGAAACAAAATATACATGGTCACACTCAAGACGCCCTAGTACAAGAGCCATAAAAAACACAAATATTAATACTAGTTAGGAAAAAGTGAGACCAACTATACGAATTAATTTTTCTTCTGATCGTGCTTACTATTCACAGAGTGTATTTTTTATTTTTTATAAGAAATTTTAAAACATGAATGCGAATTCAAATGTTGATCTTACTAAAGATGTTACATGCGAGATGTTTACATATGTTAATCCGAGAATCGACTAAAATAGGGATTTCCGTATAAGTTTGATCAACCGTTCCTTAATGCCCAAGGGGTTGTTATAGAATATATTGAGACCCCGAACACGTTTTTTGGGTAGGTTTTTATTTCGGGTACTAAAGCAGCAATGCATGAAATAGATAACACCCCATGTAATATGCTAACACGCGCGCAACTGTTTGAGTGGCAGCAGCATTGTTATGAAAATATTGGCAACGCCGAAATTTACTTCTCCGACCTGCTTCCACAACTTAATGCTTTGGCAGTCAGATTCTGCGAAGATTTGACGCAGTTACGAAGAAACTAGCAAAGAGCTCGCATTTCCATAATATTTTAAAATCGCAACGAGAAACGGACAAGGAGGATAGACAGAGACACAGCGTGGAGCGCTGAGTGTCTTTTTAGATTCCTTGTCTGTGTCTCGTTGCGTTTTTTGAATATTATGAAACACCAACTGGGCCCAAATTTCCATTCTCTACATTTTCGTGTGACCAGAAAATGTTCTACTAGCTTTTAGCGCCTAAATAACCGAGTTATCAATATTTGTTTGGGCGCTTCCCCGTTAAACATTCGCAGCATCATCCGCAGAAAGTACAACATGACGCCCCAAACGCAGGTTAACAAAGCTTCGCTAGATTCTGTAAGTGCCACCGGATTTCGTAGAGACATGCGGTATTTATGAAATGTGCAATTGCAGGATTCGGTGAGTGGTAACCGGGAATTTTACACGTGATATTGCTGGGCTCGTTAGAAAGAAACGGAAGATTCAGTTGTGTACGCATTTCCTCCACTCTACAGAGCACACTTTATTTTTAGGTCCATACATGTTTTAAGTCTTGTCATTCGTTTCTCAACGAAATGTAACCCTAATCAAAAGCTATGTGATTTTTTCCGAAATTTTAATGTGAAAATGTGGTTCGTTCTTGGTAACTCAATTGGCGCCATTCAGTTAAATGTATTCGAGAGCGCCGTGGACCGCCATTTTTCATTGAAAGTTTTAGAAAATCATTTAGAACTTTTTAATAAGATGACGGTTAGCTCTGAAACCTTGGTATCTGGTTCGGACCCCTAGTGCCACATCTGAAAGGAATATAGGAATTTGATGACGCGTAATTTATTTAGGCGGTAGAAAAATAAAGCCTGTACAGTTGGTATTTGGTGGGTTGGATGTAGGTGGTTTAGATATTTAGACCCTGTACTTATTCAGTTCTGCGTTAGTTCGATCATGTAAACCTCAGAGGTCATTCTTGCAGTCTTTTATCAAGTTATATATATTATCTGGTGCGCCATGAAAAAAAAAAGTTTACGGCAAGATGGCGACGACGCGTACGGGGGCGCCGCTGGCGCCCCCTATCTTCATGGGAAGCACTATTGCGTGCGCTCCCTTTTCCGGAAGGCGCTGAAGGTCCGCGAGGTTCTCGAGGTTGTAGATGTTCTTGGCGCCGAGAATGCGGTGGGTCTGCGTCTGGCCGTAGAAGTCCACCGAGGCAGCGTCCAGGCCCACGCCGTAGACATCTCTCTCTTTCACCAGAAACTTGGCCAAGTCGTTTGAGAAGGACGGAAAGTGGCGGGTGCCGTTCGAGTCGATTCCCATATACGCCGTGCGGTTGGGCCACAGCTGCAAATGAGCGAGTGCAGATTAGCTTTTCAGAGGACATCTGTGAGTGCCATGTACCGTGCCCCACATTGTAAAAGACGCATTTGCCACGGTAGTTTATGGGGCGGGCTAAGCGCATCAAGTCCAGAGGTACTTCATTTTAAGAGAGAGAATATCGCACATAAATCGGCTTGGTAACGTATCGGGCTACGATGTACCACAGAGGTGTCTTAAGGTAGTGGAAAGCATCACATCAAAATTTCAAAGAACGAACTTATCCGAGTCAAACGTAAGCAAACAATAGGGAGTTTTAGCAAGTTGTTTTTCGAGTCCGCGGTTCCGAAATCACGAATGCTGCAGCTGGTCCGTTCCGTGAAACCGTACGTGAAATTTGACATATTTTAGCGAATCGTAAAATTGGAGCAACCGTGTAAACAATGATGATGATGGTGTTTGACCCGTGGCGCCATCTTCTAGTAAACATGTGAATCATTCTGCAACGTAGAAATCCGTGGCGGCGCGTGTTCCCGGCGTACGACTGATGTAAACAAGACGGCTGACATAACATTTGCCGGTCAGAATTTCGAAAACTCCGAAGCTAGATCGAGTAAAAAGTATCTGAACGACCGTAAGGGTAATGGTGTGTCTCCGGTCATCTTGAAGTTGAGCGATCGTTCACGTTGTGTGCCCTCGAACCAAATCATTTCGTCTGCTCGCGGTCGCCACGGCAGCTACACTGCCCGCAGATCGCAAAAATTTACTAGCATGCGCAGTTTACAACATTCACGATCGCTTACCATTGTGAGCAGTCATCGAAATTATTTGGTTTAACCTCTGAAATGAAGCAGAGTAACAAAACGGAGAATCGCTTCCCGTTGTCTTAAGCCTAACGCTCGGCTTGGTCGGCAGAGTCAGTCGCCAAACCGACCGCCATCTTTTTTTTACCCCAGTCGTGAACTGTGCTGGCTGCGTTGTGGTGACGACTCCAGCGGCCGGATTGGGAGAAACGAACGAGAAGAGCCTCCCGACGCCCTAAACGACTCGCGCTCGCATGCGCAGTGGCGTCGCCGATGCGTTCGAGGACGAAGCGTTCGTGTGGAAACGACCTGCTAAACCTCCCTAATAACTGATTTGTTCAACCTCCGCCTGCTTTCTGTGAACCCTCTGACTGGTGCAACAGCCAACAGATGGCGGCAGCGGCCCGGCGACAGCTTAGAAGAGAGGGTCTATTTCAAACCATGGGGAGCGTTTGCAATCATGTGCTGCGTTGTCGTGAGGCGAGGAGAAAAGCAGACGGAAAGGCGGAGGCGCTCGCAGACGACACACGATTTTGCAACCTTTTTGCAGCTCGTATTGTGAACGCGGCCCATCCATAAGCCATGTGATCCCGGTCGAGCAGTTGGAAGGGATCTGTAATGTAAGCTTTCTTCGTCAGCTCAGCAGCCACCCGTGCTTGCCCCAAAAGCAGACGATGATTTCTAGTGATAAACGGCGCGCTTCTCTGTTACTATAATGGTCAGTGCATGATTTCTTTTTCATTCCCAATAAAACACAATGGGGACTTCTAGCAAACCGTTACCGCGCACCGCTTTACCGGACCCTTTGAAAGAATGTGGGTCGGTGGGATGCTTTGTTCAAGAAACCCTAGTTCCCAGCTTGCCATTGAAGTCACTGTTTACGGTTCAAGTGAAGATCACTGTGGGTTGGAATGTATAACAAAGGCTAGTGTTGTGACGTCGGTTCTCGGTGAATAGGTTGTGGCTATATAAGGCTTTGAGGAAATAAACGCGGTGGCTGAGTTTGGGACTGTCTTCTTCCTCTGTCCTTTTTTTCCACCAAGTTCCCCTCTTTTACCACAGTCTTGGGTGTTCTACATCATGATCCACGTTCACAAGCTCGCCTGCACACTCTCTATTTTTTGACCATCATGGTTTTTGTCGTGTTTCTGTACGTGTTTCATCGCCGCTAAAACAATCATGCACAAGGCGTCCCCGAAAAAAAGTTACATTTTTTTTTATTGTGGAAACAAATTAAGCATTGTCGAACGCTTATTTTTCGCACAAAGGAGAGATTCGAACCAGATGCAAAAGTTTCAGGCAAAACCAATATCTTATTCAAAAATTATAAGTAATTTTCTGAAATGGTTCAACAGGAAAATGGTGGCCGACGGAGCTCTAGAACGCATAAAACATCAACGGCGCCAGAAACTGAAAACGGGCGAAAATGGGCCACCACTTTCTTATTGAAATTCTCAGAACATCGCGTAACTTCTGATTAAAATATCGGTTCCTGCTGAAACCTTGGCACCTGGTTCGAACCTCTATAGCTACCTTTGGGCGGGAAATGAGCGTTCGGCAATGCGTAGTTCGTTTTTCAAAAAAAACAAAACAAAACAACACATTCTAATTTTTGAGTGTTTGTGTGTGTGTGTGGGGGGGGGGGGGGGGGGGCACCTTGTAAAGGGAAGGCCTAGTGATTTGCGGTTTTGACGCGGTTAGCAGACGTCGGCTACGTCTGCTGAAACGAAGTATAGAGATGACGCTTGGGGGGGGGGGGGGGGGGGGGCAGTCTTTGTTTTCAGGTGGTATCGACAGAACAGCCTATGATAAGAACCCGCTTGCTTACTTTTGACCATCCGGTACGCGCAAAGAGTAGGCATCCTTCGGGCAGCCGGCCATGTTGCTCCTCCCAACTCCGGATGTCTTCTACCGAGAGCGAGTACGTGGAATTGAGCGCGGTCTTGTCCCTGACGTCCACGAGAGCGATGGGACGGAAGAGCAGTCTTTGCAGCGGGATCTCCGACACGGCCCAGCCTCCTTTGTGGAAGTGGATCGGGGCGTCGAGGTGGGTTCCGCCGTGGGTCGGAGCACGGATGACGTCAGCCACGAACCTGCAAAGCACGGAACGACGAAACAGTCGTATCACCACATGCATCAAGATGACCATGCGTAGTATTTTTTCCTCCTCGTGCGTACGTACGATTAATGGCTCGTTCACACACTTGAGACAGCTTATGACCGACTGCCTTACAACCTAGTATGAACTCTTACGACAAAAGCTAACCATGGCTCTGGACGAAAGAATACACTTGCGCCATCTGTTGGGTAGCCGTTTAACACTTGCAAGTCCTGTGTATTTTTGTTTTTCGCGCGTCATTTTTTCTATTTGCTTGAGAAAGAGCGTTTGACAATTTTATAAACGACTCTTTCTTATAGAGAGTACCTACATTTTACCTCACAAATTCGAACAAAACCTTCGCCTCAGGGAATGGCAGTTTCAGGGCCCTTATCGGTGGCGCCAGTGTATTCTCTCGTCGAAACGGATATCCCGAGAACTCGGTCATAAGCAAGCGCCACCTGTGCCCCGCCGTCGGTCAACTGGGCTGGGAGCCACCAGGGCGCCCACAAAGCAAGCAATGCGTATGGTGCTTACACATCCCAATCGTGGTGTGAAGCATTTACAAATGCGTACAATATATCAGCGATGGTGCAATTGGCACGCTCGACAAGCCCGTTGGTTTGGGGTCGGTAAGGGGCTGCACTCTTAGAAAAAATGGTATGGATAGTCCTCCCTTAGGGGAGGAACGGTCTTGTAACCTATGTTCCTTTAGAAAGGGAGAAACTTTCGTCCCTGAAGCAGGGGAGCAAAGTTCCACCGTCGCTTGCATCTCAATATGGCGTCCCCGAATCGAGCAAATCGAGCCCAATAAGGCTTGACAAGGACGCTACGTCTCTTGTACGGGACGAGAGCAGCAGCAAATGAAAGCGTAACACGAGCTTTCCGCAAACTGTGTTTATTTCCGAAGCCAGATTCCCCCCAAACGTACAGAAACTTGCGTTTCGAAAGCAGTTACTCAGTCTTCTCGTCGACAGCACAGCGATGTTAAACGGAGACAACCGATACCCAGTTACTTCGCGCACTTTGTGTCTTACCTTTGGTGTTCCTCGAGTCACAATTCCTTCGTCAACCGCACAACACGGAGAAGGGCAAACACAATCCGCGAAACCAAAAGCCGCTCTCGAAAGAACAAGCTCGAAGCCGCTGTTTATCGCGTAGCGTGAAAGAAGGTTAAATCGCTAGCCACCAGATGGCGGGGTCAAGCAGAGTAATTGCAAGCAGCTAGGCTAGATGGCGCTAGGTACCGCCCAATTCATGTTTTACAAAAAATAATTTGCTTTTCAGAGGTCACTACAGCGCTTGGCGATCCTCTACTATACACACATTACGCTTAAAGCATCTGGTGAACCACTGATCTCAGGTGAACATACACTAAGCACATACACGGCGCACACGAATATGAATACAATGGGCGCGTTAAGTTAGCGAGCTCCAGACTCCGGACATCTGCGCTCGAGCGCGCGGGTTCGGAGCGTAGCTTAACGGCGCACTTTGGTACCGAGGCGCCATCTGACGCCTGCTTTTTTAACGTTTCCGGTTCCGGCTTTCCGGCGCGCGCTTGAACATGGCTCCCGTCCCGTCGAAACATCGAAAAAGTGTTTGGTCGACGACGACTTTGATGAAATAAGTGCGCGGAGACGGCGGCAACATCGAGAGCTTGTATTTATGCTGCACGCTGTTGGTGCGGCGATTAAAGGTACGCCGAACGCCTTCTGAATTACCAAAAGCCTTAAAGCATGACATAAAGAACTTCGACAAGCATTTGAAGGATGTATGCATACCTTTCTACACCAGCACCATGTTTTTTTGTTTTATTTTCCACGATGACGGAACGACTACACGAGCTGCCAAGCGATCGCCGTCGAAGTATCCACGCATCCAAGCAGGCGCGACTTGCGCGACTTGCGCGTCCGACGGAGTCCCTAAAGACTTCGGCGCAAGTACGAACGACGCCGAGAGCTCCGAGCACTGCATCGTAGCGCAGAACGAGCAGCTCCTACCCACGACCGGCCTACCTAGGTGCCGTTCCTGGCTAGGCCGGAGCCTTTCGGCAGCGGGGTTCGGTTGGTGCGGTCGCGGTCGGCGAAGTTTGGCGAGGCCACGGCGAGGCGAGCGCGGTGGCATCATCGGAGCGTTCGGGAGCGAACTCGCTCGCCACGGAATGCGCACACCCGACGCCTCTGGTCCAGAGTGGCCCGGCGGCCCGGTCCGGAGTGTCCGGAGCCCAAAACGCGAGGGTTTTGATGATTCTTCCGTCTCGTGCGAGACCACCGCACCACCGTGTGAAACCGGTGAACCGTGAAACCACGACCACCGCACCACCGTGCAAAATCACCGCGAGTAACCGCGAGACTGGCCGCGAGAGCGGAAACGCCGTCATCTCACCGGAAACCGACCTGTTCGCGCTCCCGCGCACCATCTCCGACGACGGAGCTCGCGGAGCGCGCTCCGCCACCGTGCACCGGAAGTGAGACGATGTCGTTTAGTTTAGCTCGAGTGCACTCTGACCGCTGGAGCGCGCTCGAGCGCGTTAACTTAACGCGCCCAATGGAACACCACACTAACCCGAACACTACACCCTTGCTCTGCGTTTCCGTGTTTTATACTGGTCGTTTTGAACATACGGAACTTTTCGGTGACTCCCTAAGCAATAAAAAATATACCCAGCATGTTGATTTATTCCCAGCAATGTCATACCTCTGAGAGTATTTTGAATGGCTCAGTGGATGAATCTCTTATTAAAAAGTAAACGCTCGATCATGCCGTAATTATTTGAAAGTTAATAAATCAAGGCGCTCCAATGCGGTTCGAAGCCACGAGTTTGTTTCCCCACACGGCACGTCGTAGCCTGTATTTCTATTGGTTTTTCTATATGTTCTGTTCGCGCAAAGCTGCAATTGCCGTCTTGAATTAATCTCTGTAGAGCGGATATTCACTCAGCTGGAAGTGATGCTTCACGGGCTAAGAAATCGCTTTTCGATCAACTTGAATGCAGTCAAAGCCGCGACTCGCGGCAGGTGTTAAGTGTACGGAGCTACGCCGTGGCGAGCCCGAATACTTCTAGCGCTCATCCCAGCGCGCCACGGAGGGCAGTTTCTCCAGGAACCGTAGTATATTTAAACAGCAAAATAAAGGGTAGCTTTTTTTTTCTCGATTTTACCTACTATTGTTTTTTAATGCCGAAATTCCATACTGTAAATATACGTACTTTCCGTCACGATTTCGTACGGTTCAGTCCCTGCCCCAGAGCGCAATCGCTCTCGGGGACGAGACAATTCCGACAGTCAGATTGGCCACTGTACGATAGGAGCTTCTACTGTTCAGACCAGTGTTCCAACATGACTATCCGCACGTTGATCGATTGCACGTAATCCCTGAAGTGGTATTAAACTTTTTAATGTAAAGCGGAATGTCAACCTGCGACACCCCGCCCCCTCCGATCACGGCCCGACCAGCGGCATCAATGCCCAACACTTTACGATCTCATTTTCTTGTTACACCACTGATACGCGAACACACGGTCACATCGGCGATAATTCCAGTCTTCTGTTCACAACCCACAACACTGCCATCACGATGTTGCAGCTCTGTTGCTGACACGCACAAACACAAAACCACGTTGAACGCCGGTTGCACTCGGCATCGGAAAACAGAACCGAACTCAGGGGGAAGGCACCCAGGCAGCCGGCAGCAAAACCTGCCTGTCTTGGACGCATTTCCTGCGGTTTCCATAACGTCGAAAACGTCGACACAGTTCCGCGTGGTTTCGCTACTGTAGTGACTGCAGTGCTGTAGTTCCGTGCCGCGCGAGTCCCGCAATCCGGAGACGCCGGAGACGGCCATCGCCCAGTGTACGTGGCGCTGCTGGCACTGCTCGGGAACTTCGCTGTTTCTAGCGGCTTCGTTTGCTCGTTAGATAAAATTAGTGATAAAAACGTCAATGCAACCGAAATGTTCTGCACGTTTAGACTAGAAGACGGAATTACAGGCGGCCTTCGCTGCCGCTGAATCTCAATCACCTCAACAGCTATTTATTAAACAACGTGCGCGACCTGCTCGAAAAACGAAACCGAAAGACGATGAGTCGGGATGGCGAAAGCTTTCTCCCGACTGCCTGGAGAAGGAGAAAAACGTTTCGTTCCTCCCCTTTTCTCGTGTCCGCTTGGGGGCGCGTCGGTAGAAGGGAGGAAGACGCGCCGTTGCAACTTTTTTCCTCCATTTTTTCTTAGAGTGTGCCTGGACGTGTGTATCCCATAAGTATAGGTTCCGTGTTTTGGCGTAAATCCGGAAAACTCCGATAAACACCCAGCGGTAATATTTTGTCAGTTTTTAGGTGCCAATGCACTCCCCCCGTCACCCCCCCCCCCCCCCCCCCGGCAAAACAAAAGTTAAATATATATATATATATATGTTTTTATTTCTTTCTTTTTTTTTGCTTACGTGCAGCGCAGGGGAATGGTCCCGGGAAAATTCCACAATAATTATCTTTCAAATCTTGGACCGTTGTCAAAGCGGGTCTTACCGCTTGTGTCGTCAAGGTTGATTCTGGGCAACAGGTCATTGGGTCACGACAAAAGCCACTCGTTTGACTTTCCAGTTTGAGCCAAGCGGTTTGTGATTTAGAGAAAGGAGAGGGTATGTTTTTGTAAGAGTGAATGCTATGGACCATAGAGATTGTATAAAATAGGGAAGAGAGGCAGTTCAAACTTCTCTATTACATCCTTAACCACTCCACATCCACCGCGTTGGACAACCAAGCACTGGTTTCTTCAACTCTAGCTTTCTGGTCAGAGACATAACATATCGGACACGTACTTAACAAGCGCACGGCTTTCTTCAACGATGTGCCTGTAGCCCGAGCATTTCAAGGCGTCACTAACTGCCAGCTGCAGCGTGTGAGCGGCGCACCTCATCCTTTCTAGCAAGCCGGAATCATCAGAGAGTGCGCTCTAAGGATTCTCTAATAGTGATTGTAGAGCGTGGGACTCAACT